AAGTGCGCTGGACTGGGCGATGGACTCTCGCCCGCGGAGTGATTCACGAGCTCGCGGGTGCGTGTGGACTGGGCGATTCAGTCTCGGTTCGAACATATTCGCATGAAATGGCTTGAAACTGCTTGGAAACTCGACTTCTTCGGGAAATGCTCATTGCTCGGAACGTGACTCGACTCTCTCGGAACATGGCTCGACTCTCTATCTCTATCCCGGAATAAACCTGAAATTCATAGCAAAAGTACGGGAAAGTACGCCAAAATATGAAACAAACAACAAAACATAAAAAACACACGATAAACGCCAAAATGGACCGGTCGACACTAAAATAAACATAAAATCGACTCGAAAGCACATAAAAACACATAGAAATAAACACAAAAACACAATAAAGAGGTTGAACGGCGTTCAACCCTTATTTTTACTTTTTTTTTTTGTTGTTTTAAACCAATTTTATATTAGTTAAATTTTTTTATATTAATTCATTTTTTATTTATATCACACTTTCAAATATTAATAAATTCAGATTTTATCTATATCACACTTTCTAATATGTATCAATAATTTTTATTTTGTATGCTTCATTTTTTGCCTATAAATACACCTTATTTTTACATTTCTCCTTCACCAAACACCTCATTTTTACACTTCTCCTGCACCAAAAAAATTTAGTAATTGTTCACTTGTGTTAAAAAATGTAAAAAATTTAGCAATTGTTCACTTGTGTTAAAAAATGTATTTGAATAATAGGCAAAATTTTCAAAATTTCTCAAGTTTTAATCCTAGCAATCCAGATGAAATTTCGTTCTTCCAAAATTCACAACCCCGCACATTTACCATTTTTAAAACAACTAAAAAAATATATTTTGTAATTGTACTTTTTTTTATTGTGTAATCATAATTTAAGTTATTTAATCTTGTAGTGTTCTATCATTTTTATGCATTTAAAATTTATTATTATAATTTTAAAATATTAAATTTTATTTTTATTGAGAATATAATATAAAATTTATATTGAATGAGTGGATAATGGGTCCCAAATATGTATTTAAATAAATGTGTAGGAATGTGAGTGTGTGTTTAAATGGAGAGAGATTTAGTGGAAAAATTATGTGGATGAGAGAGATTGTTGCTTTTTGATTGAATGAATGGAATGTGTGTTAAAGGGTTGTGGATGTCCTAATGCGCTGAGCCTACGTGGCTTCTTCTGGTGCTTCAGAATTCTATATGGCAAAATTACATGCTTCGTTATTAGACTTGGATAAATTTTAATTTAATTCCAAACCAAAAATAATTAGGTTCGGATTACCATAAATATGTTGATTATTTATGGTCATGTTATATGTATTAATTGCATTTTAATATCATTCTTTATTATAACTATTGAATTGTATATATATATTAAAAGTTAATAATTTTTGTATTTTTTTATCAATTTTACATACGTAATATATCAAATTAATCTTCTTTTGATGAGTTTCGATTTAACATCCATATTGTATGTATAAAAAAAATAATTTATATTTATCTTTATAACAATAATAAAATTATTTTTAATATTAATTAGAAAAATAAAATTATTTATCAACTAATATATGTATCTTTCAAGTAGTTATATGATATAAGTTATAAAAACTAATATAATATAACACATGTAAGTCATAAGTAAAACATATCATTCTAAAATATATAGTAATATATTTTTTTTGTAAAAAAGTAAACTAAATTTAATATAGTTTTCTCATTAACTTTAAAATTTAAGAATATTTTTTTAACAAACATCCGTGTAGTAATACACGGGTGTTGTACTAGTAATTCTCTAAAACAGATCATCATACCATGAAAGCCCGTGGGGTAGCCGCCGCCAGCATTTTGCAATTGTAAATTAGATGAGAGTGTGTGGCTGCGAGAAAATAAAGAAACCCTACACCTTTTATATTTGGGCTTCCTTGGACCGGTGAGAAAATAAAGAAACCCTACTCGTACCTTTTGTATTTGGGCTTCCTTTGCCTGGACCGGTCCAACGGAAATGAAACAATCTAATTGGTTCGTTTTTCTTTTTTCTTTTTAGGAAACGATATACTTTATCAATAAATAACAGATCCCCTCAGATCGTGCGATGCATGAGAAAATAATATTACGATTATATTATAAATTAAATATATAAATAACATTAATAATGATGTATCCATTGTTTTAAAATTAAGTCGAGTTGGACACAGTTCGACAGGATGGAAAGAGAACCGATTTATAACCCATCTAATTCACTTGAATAAAATATTTTCTGTCAAATCCACCAACACCACCCGGTTGGATTGGTAGGATCGATACGATTTTCTAAATAAATTTTTCTACATTTCAAATTGTTTTAAATAAAATTACATATTTAAATAAATAGAGATTTATAAATTGTTTTTCAATTAATTTAAGTATTTGAATTTATATTTTTTTAGATATTTAAGTAACACATTTATTTAAATTTATTACAAAAAGTACTATATATGTATATATATATATATACTAGTACGAATCTCGTGCGATGCATGGGTAAAAGATATTCATTAATATTTATAAATTGAAAATGCTGATTAAGTGATATTTATATATTAAAAATATGGAGTTAATATGTAATACAATTTATCTATAATAATTTATTAAGAACAATATATGAAATTTAAATTGTGAAAAATTACATAAATGTGTCTAATTGAAATTAATGTACAAATTGTACGGTGTACGTAATTGATAACAAATTAAAATATATTCATTTCAAAATAAATGTCATTTTAAATTTTTTATTAAGAAGTTCAATTTGATTGCAATGCGATTCCAAAAATAATTATTGTGGTAAAATTTTATCTTATATTTAAAAATTTGTATGAATAATAATCATAATTATAAAACTTACATTGCTTCATTAATTAAAGTGAATTTATTATACATAAATTATCCAAACAAAAAAAAAAAATTGTAAGAAGTTGATTAATTTAATAAAACATAAATAATTGACTATTCCATTTACATTCAAGTTAATATTGATTCGTACGTTATGAAAAATTACTTATTTCACTTCTAAATTTGGGACCCAAATTTGAACTATACAATAAATTTCGTCATATATTTCACACACACACACACACACACACTATCTCGCAATTTTTTAAATTTGTTGTCGGTTCGTTCAAATAATTCCTGAGAATTAAATTACAAATTTTAAAGTTTTTTAAAGAATATTTACTCAAAGATCTTTATGATACTTAATAGGAATGCATACCAATTGGCGTATTATCATGCAAGTTACTTTGTGAATATGCCAAAATTTGAAAATCATATCACTTTGATTTTATAACAAATTCACCTAATATTAGACTTTCATTCGCATACCAAATAAAATTTATACCACTTATTTTTTCTCAAAATTTCCAAATACACTTCTATCCATACAAAAAAAAAAATCGTAGAATTTACATTCGAGCGTTTCAAACCATAATTAAATTTTCTACTCTCTACCATAAATTCAATCATTTATTAATAACAACATGTTTCCTACCAAAAATAAAATTGCTATCAGATACCTAAAATAAAATCGACCACTTTACACCAAAATCAGATTTATTAATTTTGTCAACTTTATACTATAAATTAACTAATTAATTTCTAGTTGTGGATTGTTTGAAAATTAAAAAAATACCAAATTTAGTAATTTAAAAATTTTAGGCAGGATTTTAGTTTCTAGTTCATTTAAAT